CTCCTGTTGCCCTCAGATATGTTGTGAGGGATGTTTGCACTCCCGTTTCCCTCAGATATGTTGTGAGGGATGTTTGCTCTCCTGTTGCCCCCAGATATGTTGTGAGGGATGTTTGCTCTCCTGTTGCCCTCAGATATGTTGTGAGGGATGTTTGCTCTCTTGTTGCCCTCAGATATGCTGTAAGGGATGTTTGCGCTCCTGTTGCCCTCAGATATGTTGTGAGGGATGTTTGCTCTCCTGTTGCCCCCAGATATGTTGTGAGGGATGTTTGCTCTCCTGTTGCCCTCAGATATGTTGTGAGGGATGTTTGCACTCCCGTTTCCCTCAGATATGTTGTGAGGGATGTTTGCTCGCCTGTTGCCCTCAGATATGTTGTGAGGGATGTTTGCTCTCTTGTTGCCCTCAGATATGCTGTAAGGGATGTTTGCTCTCCTGTTGCCCTCAGATATGTTGTGAGGGATGTTTGCTCTCCTGTTACCCTCAGCTTTGTTGTGAGGGTCATCCGTTCTGTTGTTGCAGCAGCTCACTGATGCTTCTGCTGCGGTCCATACAAATAATTTTGGGTATATGTAAATTAGGACTAAAGCATCAGCATTATTTTTACCACTCACATAAACTTCTACCGTTTACTATTGATTGTGTGCCAGGAATAATTAAATTATTACCCTAGTACGTGCCCTTTCTACATTAGTCTTTAGCACAATTTTCATTATGTATTTGAATAACTATCATCGGTGGATTTTTTATTGAACTCTGCTAGAAGTCGTCATTGAATGACACGCCTTAATTCATGGCTGACTGTTATTTGACTTTATTAGCTAGTGATTCATGAGGTCCACGTAAAAATTGGATTAAGTTTGTAACGCCGTGTACCCTATGCTGTGGAAATCAATGAAGATATTTTTGGTAAAGTTGAAAATTTATCTTCAGAAGTTGGTTACGGTATTTACCCAAAACTTTAGAATTTGCTTAATATGATACAAATTTTCTCGCACACACATAAGGATTCACTTCAACACTGCTTATATGCATTTGAGAGCGTAATAAAGCCTGTATTGCAACGACGTAAACAAATTGAACGTACAGGATGAACATTCAATGCAAATTGAATGCATTTTTTCTCAACTTAGCATCAACGATCAAAAAACTTTGCGAATGGATATCAGTTTCTTATAAACAAATTAAAAGAATTTCAACTTGCTTGGTCTAATCTTAATGCTAGAGTATCTTTTATAGTGGATGTATTGTCGCTGAGCTATGCGTTGATAAGAGATTGACGAGTAGATTTCACATCTACCAAACATTATCTATTTTTCAACATTTCCTGTCGAGAAATCTAGTGATCCTAAAGCCTCTACTTAGTTTACCTTGGAAAATGTGTTGCTGGGGCAACTTATGTGATGAGATGGGCTTTTGTTGCTATAAGCTCTATTGTGTTCCATGAGGAAGTATTTTTAACGCTAAGAACATTTATGGTCTACTTTTTAATTATTGAATAAAAATGTCTCCTATCATGCACCTGCGCATATTTGTTCAGATTTATCTTATTCTCTCACGTGTGTACTCCCTGTCTTTCAATATCCTCTATAACTTCTACACTCATATTTCGTTCAGCAGAGACAGAAACTACAACAGAAAATCAGCAGTAAATAAATGCATATTAATAAATTGTTACTTGGATACTTTTTTGGATTTCGGCATCAGGAAAACGTGAGTCTGAGCTCCTTTTGTCTGCACTCGCATTAAAAATCGGTCGTGTATAATTAGATATTTGCTAAAAAGTTTCCTTGACACCAGAAGTCAGTACGATTTTCCTCAATTCACTATTTAAAAAAAGACCTAAAACTACTATGGTATTAATATTAGTTTGCAAGACAAGCAATAAAATAGACACACATTGTTATTCTTCCTAGCATTGAATATTTATTCGACATTTTAAATACTAATCGTGTTTTTTTTTGCCGTAAATCCAGTTCAACCAGATTCTCAAGAAAACCTCACTGCGATGGAAGCGAAATTTTTAGGCATTGGAGCCGTCGGGAGGAGATTAAAAAGCAAGCTGTTTTTACATACATATTCATTATTCTTTTGGAGCATTATGTGCTCAAATAAAGTGATGTTCAATAATTGCGACAATAGATTTCTAATCATTGTTTCTTACTACAACAGCAAAATATTCAACGGGAGGAAATAATTGTATTTTTTACAAAGTTTCACCAGAGCAGAATTCGGAAAATAATTCAATTGAGGATAAATAAGCAGCGTTAAGATATCAGTGCAAATTATATAAATACTAAGAAATTAAGTGTTTAGCGATAAATTATTGAAAGTTACTCAAAGTTAGAGATTTGGGAGAAATTAATTGATATAGATTTAATTTATACGTGGCTTTACTTAACAAGCAAGCGTTCTTTTACGAGGTTAAAATATGTTATATTTAACTTTAAGAACGGAAACAGAGAGGAAAGTGTAAAAAATTTATAATAATAAAGAAAATTAATTTAGAGTCACACCAACATTGACGAATACGTAGCCACCATCAAATAGCCAATAAGATAATAATTATTCAAACCTAATAGCTAGGAATAAACGTTTAATCGGACGCTTTGTGTCAACCATTAAAAATCTTGGTTTTCTCTAGCCCCAAGTTGTAATTTTTAAGAAGAAGAAAGCATTTTCATTACAATCACTTAATATTATTAAGAAATCTTCACTGACATTGCAGATTTCGAGGCGATGCAGCTCTCTAATGGACATACAGATTTCGATAAGCAATGTTCAGAAATTGGGAATGAGTTTTCCTACATAAATTGGAGATGCTATTTCTGGACTTCATGTAATTATCGTTCGTTAAGAGC